ATATATATATATATATATATATATATATATATCTGTGTATGTATATGCCTGTGTGTGTTTAATGAAGGGGGTTTGGGAAGAAAAGGTGAAACGAGCTTTTTATGTTTCGTTTTTATTTTCTTTTTATTCTCACAGAGTCTGTCCGTGGTTCCCTAAACATCATTTACTATAAAAAGAGAATGAAAAAGAGATAGAGGGATTGAGAGAAAGAGAGAGAGAGAAAGTGTTATGCCACATAAGTTGTGTGCTCTGATCATTACCCAAGTTTCTCTCTCTCTCTCTCTCTCTTTCTTTTTTACTTACACACACATAAAATACATGCATATATAAATACACATTATTTGCAATAATTGGTTTCTCTTTGTTTCTCTCATTTTTGTTTCATTATGGTTTCTCTTTCACTCTCTCTCTATCTTTTCTTTTTTACTTTTTTTTTTTTTTTTTTTTTTTATCACTCATTCTATTATTACGAAGCAAAAGATTTGTTTACCCAATGAAGACTTCTACCTGTAGCAGGCATTTCATGTTTAATGGCTCTTTCTCTATTATTATTACTATGCAGCTGCTAATGTTACTGCTGTTTTTCGTTCCTGAAACGATGGCGATAAGAAAAGTTGAACACCATTGTATTCATGCCGAAAGTAGAGTACAGCGGCTAATTATAGGTAATACTAACACTTCTGCATACTCGCATGAAAGTAACAACAACAACAAGAGGAAGAGTAATAATAATAATGATAACGAAGAAGAAGAAAAAGAGGGATTGAATACCGGGTATGAACACCAGAAAAGTGATAATGCAAGAAAAAGTTTACAGGGGTCCAAGTCAAAATCACGTGTTAAACGTTTCAACATTGCACGCCGTAATAAGAAATTATCCAACAAGAAGGATAATGATGGTAAGATCAAATTAAAGAATGGTACAGAAACATGGGAACCACTTCGCATCGTTGTAGACACGAGTCTTCTTGTGGATCCCAGTAAGATATGTACGGCTGTAGGTCAAGTTCGAACTGATTTTATGGGATCCACGCATACCTGTCTCTCTCAAGATATAATGACATTAGAGAAAGTATGGATTATTGAGAATGTCGCATTACCTCTGGCCATTTACCGTGTACAACAGCTTTTGAATGTAAATCCTCTTCAGGGACCATTATTAGTTACAAAGAATATATGTGGTCCTGATGTTACTATTCCAGAAAGTCATTCTACGGTTGGAGTGTTGGATGCGGATATGATTCTCTATGCTCATGCTGGTGGTATGGATAATTCAGCCACTCCAGGTGTAATGGGAACTATTGCCTGGGCTGCGCATTGTGAATTAAATGAAGCTGGACGCCCAATAGTTGGTCATATTAATTTTGTACCCTCTTTTATTCAATGGTTTGTTTCTGGATGGGAATATGAATATTATGTTCGTATTATTATACATGAATTACTACATGCTTTGGGATTTACACCAACCTTTATTGATCCTATGGTGAATATAAGTGAACGACGGGGAAAGTCGGTTCACCTCGTCACTGCCCCTGCTGTTATTGCCGCAGCTCAAACACATTTAAGTTGTCCAACACTAGACGGTGTGGAATTAGAAGATGAAGGTGGAAGCGGTACGGCCTGGACCCATTGGGAACGTAGAGGATGGATGGATGAACTAATGGCTGGAATCCCTTCTCGAGCAGCCATTTCTGCTCTCACACTTGCCTTTTTCTCATCTCTTAATTTATATACAGTCAATATGGAATATAATGAGACGATGTCATGGAGTTATCATGCGGGTTGTCCTTTTCTGGAGGAGAGATGTGTAGCGAATGCCCAACGAATGGGATTCGAGTGGTGTAATGACACTTCCACAGCACAACTCTGCACATTTGATCGCTTGGCAGTGGGATTGTGTAATACGGGTTTGGTTCCAAATTTACCGCCGTATTTTCAATACTTTCCTGCTGAGCCAATGCGTGCAGGTGTGACACCATTGATGGATTACTGTCCTATTGTAGTGGGTTATGGTAATCGTCAATGTACACAGCCTGTCGAATCCACAAGTGATGATGCCCTTTATGGATTTTACTTTGGAACCCAAAGTCGTTGTGTTCCTACGCATAATATGGTGAAAAAAGGTTACACCATTGATGATAATAACCCACGTTGTTTAATGGTAAGATGTCGACTAGGGAAACAAGTAGAAGTCTTTGTTGGTTCTTATTGGCTTGAATGTCCTGCTGATGGGAGTGCGGGAGTTATCACTATTCCAGCTTATACGGGTTACAACGGGGAGATACACTGTGAGCGTGCAGAAAAAGTCTGTTCATCTACTCTATTTTACAATCCAGATTCCGCTGCATCGGCATCAACTGTAGATGAAGGACCTTTGCGAGAATACGCATTAGATGTTATTCTTCTTCTTAATACAACAGTAAGTGGGAATAAAAGTAATGTTATGCATACATTGGGTCGTATGGCTACTGTAGAGCCGGGTATGTTTTTCATTCTTCTTCAAGAAGAAATTACCACACTGTGTAAGTGTAAATTGGGAACTAGTAATATTCGTATTTTACCAGAATATGCCTCTGCAGCTGTAGTGAATGGTGGGATTGTGGTGAACTTTCAACTTGGATTAATGATAGGAGCGGGAAGTGCAACGATTGAGAATATGCGGAATATGTATGAATCTAAATTTATGGTGAATAGTGTTTTGAGTCGTATAGGAGCCTATATCACGGAAGAGGAAAAGGAGGAAGAAGGTGGTATCTTTACTGTGACGATAGCCTCTTCGGAAATACTTCCTGAGGCAGTGATTGTAGATGAGATCACATCATTAGATCAATTGGTGGCATTAGGGGAAATTCATCTTCACTGTAAAGGTGATTTGACTGGAATGCCTTCGTTAACCGATCAGAAAGTAATTACACTTTTGGAAAATGCAGTACGGCAGGATATATCTCAAATTATTCTTCTCACACCAAATCTAATAGAAGTGAAACACTTGCAGATTACAGGATCTACCGACTTGTTGATTACCTTGACGGTATATTTTCCTCCTGTTGCCGATGGAATTGGTGGGAATGAAAATATTTTACATTTATGGGAACAATTGCTTATGAACTCAACAACTATTACTATTACTACTACTATTACTTCTATGCCTTCACCGCTTCCTGTTCTTACATCTACTGTTCAATTTCTCTCTAAAGGTGCTCCTGTAAGTGTGACTGATAATATCAGTTCCAGTAGTGCCTTGTCGTTGTTCTCTGCTGATGTGAGTGAAGTGCAACCAGATTCTACGGGGGACTCACGGTGTGTTGTGCAGTTTACGGGTTGCTTTGCTGTTCAAATAGTAATATTGATTATTCTTATTCTTATCGTTCTTATTATGATTGTTGTGTTTTTGAAATTATGTCTTTGTCCGAAGCCAAAGTGGCGTATTCAAGTTGAAACCTGCGAGTTGGTGGTACCTTTACAAGAAAAGTATCGATGATGATGATGATGAGTTTAAGAAAAGAATACATTTAATGGGAATCCCCTTTCAAGAATCTTTCTTCAGAGAAGTGTGTGTGTGTGTGGGAGTATATATTACCTGAATGGGGGAAAAAAGAAAAGAAAAAAAAAAACCAGAACTCATAAATTAAAAAAAAAAAAACTTGCAGAGAAATAATATATTTTATATATTAATGTGTATTCGAGTTGGAAGTATATTCCCTGTGAGGTTTTAGTTCTGTTTATTGGTGCCGTCTGTGGATGAGAGTGTTGGTGTTTTGGTGTCCTGTTTTTTTTTTTTTTTGTTGAGAGTTTGGGAAGGAAAGTGTTTGATGTCTTATCTATTTATTTTTTTTTTATTATTTTTCTGCTGAGCGTACACAACAACAAGATCAAATTTTTTTTTTTTGTATTGTTTATTATTATTATTAGTCTGTGGTCCATGGCAGTGTGTTTGTTTGTAAAAAAAAAAAAAAAAAAGGTCCACTGAAACCATTCCTTCCCCTCTCTCTTTTTCTCAGTACCCAATAGTTAATAGATAGTGTGGTGATTTTTTTGTGGACTCATTGAGAGAGGGGCACTTTCTTTGTTTGCTTGTTTTAGTGTATATATATATATATATATGGCTCAATAAAAATAATACGGAAAGAAAAAAATAAAATAAAATAACAGAAAAGACATGTTTTCTTTTCTTATCTTTTATTATTTCTTTAGGGAGAAAGGATAGAGAAATGGACTATTCTTTTCGTTTTTTGGGAGGTTGAGGGGGAGTACCTTGAATTCTAATTAAATAATGATTGTATATATATATATATATATATATATATATATCTGTATGTATATCTTATTTATTACTAATGATATTGTTATTTACATTGTATAAATGCTTCCCTTTGATCTTTCTTACTATGTAATATGTGAAAGGAGGTGAAAACAAAACAAAAATAACACCAACCACAAAAAAAAAGGAAAAAAAAAGATAATAAGTCCGTAAAAGAAAAGTCCAATACATAAAAAAAAAAAAAAATAGCATGCGTCAATGGAGAGGAATAAGGAAGAATAACACATTTCTACTTTTATTATTATTATTCCTATGTACGTTCTCTCTCATGATGGCTGAGAAATGTATGGGGAGCCCCACAAGGGAACAACAGGCACTTCTCGTTGTGGTTTATCTTAACGCCAGTACATATCCCACAATGGGAAATGACTCTCAACCATTTCTTTTAGCACTAAAGGAGGATTTATATGATATTATATTTGTCGAGTTTAACCACTCCAGAGTGGAATTAACAGCATGGGGAGAAACACAAAACGATAATAGTGATAGTGCTATTGATAGTTTGCCGGTATGTAGTATTTACTGTCTAGGGCATAATAATAATAATAATAATAATAATAATAATAATAATAATAACCCTCTCAATGATGGATTTACACAATCACTACCATTCGTGGGAAGGAAAGATCATGATGGGGATGGGAACTGTACCTCTCTACTTCTCTGTAAATGGAGAATTGATAAATCACTTTTAACGCATGAAGGTTTCCACTCAAAATGTCGAGAACGTGTTCGGACCATTTACGCATTTAATTCAATGGGATATGATCTCATGGAAGCTAACAAGTATAATGAGAAGAATACAGAAAAGAAGAAGGAGAAGAAAAAAAATTTCTTCTCACGATCTTCTCTTGAGTATCGTAAATTAACAGGGGATACACGAGACCTTGTGGGTGTTGGTGGGGATTGTCATGATTTGAGTTTATTAGATGAATCCTCTGCGGCTTCCACATGCGGTAAAATCTCTTGTTTGGGTGTGGCGATGATTGTGATGACGGGTCTTGTGGTGCTGGTACTTTTACTTGTAATGCTGTTTTGTTATTGGAGGAAACTCTGCGGCTGTTTGTTTGCCAGTTTCTTCTCAGATGAGAAGAGCAATCAGGATGAGAATGATACCAGTCCATCCGCCCCACTTATTCCTCACGCATTCTCTCCAGATAGAGAAGAAGAAGAAGAAGAAGAAAGAGAAAAGATAGAAGAATATGAAGATAAGAAAAGATCATCTAATGGCAAGGGTATAGATTCTTTAAGTGTTCAACGATCATTACAAAGGATATTATACGATAGATCTGAGAAGAGAGATAGTTTAAAGATGAAGGTGCCAAGTACAGGGAAAGTGAATTTGTTAAACATGGATGCCTATGTGAACAGTACATCTCATTATGGAGTTTCACCGTATAATGCTCTTGATAGATGTGCACAACCGTCAACCTGTACAGTCTCACGTGGACGAGTCACTGCAGAGTCTCTTTCTTCTGCAGTCACGTACGGTAGCACCAGTAGTAACAGTAATAACAGTTACACTAGTAATAGTAATAACAGTAACAATAATAATAATAATAATATCAACAAGAGTAATAATAGTAGTCGTAATAGTAATCATCATTATAATAATAATAACAGCAACAACAGTAATAACAGCAGCAACAGCAGCAATAGTAGTAAATCCTCGCCTGTCCATCAACTCGAACAGTTATCGTCCCTCCTGCGGGGAGTCGACATCTCAAGAGAAGAACGGGAACAACTGCAGCGTCAGCGTTCGTGGCTGATGGAACACGTTGCAGGCCTCGACTCGCTGTAGTGCTGGGAGAGAGGAAAAAGGCAAACTGTATGATGATTGGGGTAATTAATAATGGGCTGTTGATGGCCAATAGGAGAAAAAAAAAAAGAAGAAAATAATAATAATAATAATAAATAGGGAGTGTGTGTTCCTCTCTTTTCTCAGATGGATTTTTTTTTTTTTGTTGTTGTTGTTATTGGTGAGTATTGATGATAAGTTTTTTTTTTATTTTTGGTGTTTGTGCGATCATTTTTTCTTTTTATTATTACTATTATTATTATTATTATTATTATTATTATTATTATTATTATTATTGTAATCTCTCTCTCAAACACACTGGCTTTTGTGCCACTCCTTTTTCTAGTTGTTATTTTCCAGTTCTTACTGTTTTGATTTTGCCTTCGTATTGCCTCCTGTGCACACAGGGCTTTT